ATGAACGTCTGTTTGGTAAAGTATATTTTCTTTACAAGTTTTTTTGATATTGAATGCTTACAATATTGTGTTGTATTTTTCTAGATTTGATCCTCTTAATAAGAAGCAACTCCTGAAAGTTACTTGTGACGTCACTTTGAGTGGAGACTACGAAATGCAAGGACAAGTTCTGATACTACCAGTGGAGGGCAATGGGAAATATAAAATAGATATACGTAAGAAAAATTATATATATATATATATATATATATATATATATATATATATATATATATATATATATATATATATATATATATATATATATATATATATATATATATATCAGATTTATTACACATTCGTGGTTTTTAAAAGAGAGAGACGCCAGCCTCGCTGACGTTACCAATATCACTTCTTCTAGAGCATTCGATGATATTTTAAAATGAAACTGCAATTGATCTTAATGCTCTTGTATTTCTCAAAGATTCTTCATAATAACATGCTTTTATGATACACGCTCACTGAACTCTGAATTATCAATCCTCGAGTCTGCCGTCGTGAGTCTAGACGTCATATTTTTGATTCAAACATAATTCTATTCTCCTTTGATTTCGTTTTACTTTTAACAATAATCATAAATACTAATGAGGTTTAATAAGAATTGATGATAGCCTTAAATTATTTTCAAGTCGCATCCGTTATTAAAGCTGGTAGCGCCGATACGGCCATTCTGACAGGCGGTGCGTGCTCTGCACCTGCCTGGTGATGTGTTCTCTCTTGGTTGGTGTTCGTCATGTTCTTGGACCAGTCGCGCGTCTCCTAAAGTAGATGGGACAGGATCAAGAATTGATGCTTCATCTTCCGAAGTCATGCCGATACGGTCATACTGATGTTTGCTCTGTGATAAAAGATAAATGCTTTTGTAGTCTAGGTACTTCCACAGTAACCCTAGATAACTTAATATTGTTACAATTATGAATATCAAATTTGTTTTGATCGTATGGGTGACGTTGTTTACTACGACACATCTTTGGATGGTCATAATATCACGTAAAATTATCTAAGCTACTATGGCTTTGGGGCATCACTCGAACATTCATAACATATTTCATAACATATTTTGTCATAGGACGTCTCCACCCGCCTATAACATTTTTTAATTATTATTTTTTTATTATTAATTTATTTGTCGTAAGACGTCTCCACCCGTCTACAACAATTTATATTGTCATTTTTATTTTTATTTTTTATTATTATAATTCTTTTTTTTTATTATTATTATTATTATTATTATTTTTTTTATCATCATTATTATTCATCGTTAGACGTCTCCATCCGTCTACATTTTTTTTATTTTTATTTTTTCTTTTCTTTTCTTTTTTTTTTTTTTTTTTTATTATTATTTGTCGTAAGACGTCTCCATCCGTCTACAACAATTTTTATTTTTATTGTCATTTTCATTTTATTTTTTATTATTATAATTCTCTTTTTTTTTTTTTTTTTTTGTTATGGTTCGGATCTGCACGCCAAATGCGTCTTTTATAGTAATATTTCTCAAAATACATATATGTTTGAATATCACACTTCTAGCTACAAAATACGCAATGCGTTTGAAATGAAGTAAATTGAACAAAATGAAATACGCTCACCGGATAACTATTAGGTAGTAGTATTATATATTAGTAGTTCCTCGGTTTCTATTCACTTTTTCTGTGATATTTTTTATATAAAATCTCCATTCTGGAATTATTTAAATTTTAGCTCGAAATCTCTTAAATCCAACTTTATATATTCTTTCCGCCTCGACCATCCTGTTTTAAATGTGTTGCTTCGATATCCACGGACGGATTGTCAAAATGTAATCTAAACTGTTAAAGCCGGATTGACTTGTTCGTATGTTCATAATATCGTCAAGGATACTAAATTTGTCAGATGTATGCTGATGCCTGTAATTACATAATACTATTTATAGGAATAATAGAGCCCGGCCTCAATCCTCGCAAATAGTTGACGATTTGTTTTCTATTCCCGGATATGTTATTTGCCATTGATTCTTGTATAACGCACCCCTGAAATCATGCATTTTATTAAGATTAAATTTACCAGTTGATATTAAATTTAAATTCGGCGTGATATCCTTTTTCCGTCGACAACATGATTCAAACGTTTGACTACGGTTAGCAGAAATGGAACAAAACTTAGCTGTACTCGCAATAGGTGTATTTGATTAGAAATTTGGAGTCAATTATGCTATCATTTGAATTATAACATCGTTTTTTTTTTTTAGTGGCACTGCTGTGTGTGTTGACCGACATGTTGTTAATATTACTGCGGAGAGTATGTCTACAGTCGATTCTAAATAAAGCCGTGGCGCCGGCTGTTTGATATCAAAATCATGTAAGTTCTTATAGATTGAGTGACTTCATATTTACTCATAGTTTCCCAAGGCCGCTCTTCGTAATCTCATGGTATTCTCAAGGATACAGCAAGGACCTGTGGTTAGCTCAAGGGTAACTCGTGATTAGCTCAGAGGTCACGCTCTCCAGATCTATGGTGTAATACTTGTCTCTTCACGGCTCCACAAGGCTTCCCTACAGAATCTCATGGTTCTCTTGAGAATACACCATGGACACGAGATTAGCTCACGGAAATTCCCTAAACACTAAAGGCAACATAGAGCTCTCATTATTTCCGAAAAAGAAGAGCGCGTCTTATCTCGTAAGTTTTAAAGATATCACTATTAAAATAGTTTGCCTCTAGTTTCGTGATAATAAAATTAATTTCGTTATCTATTTCTTGTTTAGCCTTCAACCAATGGTCTGTTGTCGCGGCGAAATGAAAGCATTTTTGATTCGAAATCAGTGGCAAAGGACATCTATCAGACACCGTATTCTTATTTAATTCTCTCTATGACATTATTCAAATGATTTTTCAGTTCCAATCTTGTTTGTTTTAAGAATGAGACATTATTTTTAATCCCTATAGAATACCCTAATGTAAGCAGATCCTGTCTAATCATAAGGTCGTTGAAAATACATGAATTCACAACATGAAAAACTCACTTTACTGAATCACTCTTAAATTGTTTAAAGAATTTAGATAAAACATTTAATGCGAGCGTTACTTCACCTTCTAATGCAATTGTATTATTATATTGTGATTTACTTAGAAAACTATCTTTCAAAAAAAATTTTTTTTTTATTTTTTATTAAAGAACATTCGGTACCCGAGTCGAAACAACATGAAAACCTCTCACCGGTTTCACTCCAGAGCTAAACCATATCTGGATTGAACAGATATTCACGTGTCGTTCGGTCCATGCTTAATTGGCCTTGAATTCAACACTGGGGCAGCGCGGCGCGAAGTAGCCTCGTTCACCATACTTGGAGCAACTAGGACTAATCATTTACTTCGGCGCGCCAGGTTCTTTTAATTGTTGAGAGGAGCTGGTATCTGAAAACTCAGGATGTGTATTAGTATTTGGTCAAGCCTGCTATGGCCTCAACCTTCAGTTAGAACGTGCCCGTCTTGTCTCAGTTATAGTGCCACATCGTCGCATAATATCTCCGCTTAATATCCATACTACGTGGCTTCCAATCGTATCCACATATTTGAGCTCACTCCTTTTAAAGATTTCATTTTCATTTGAGAATCATGGTTCCTGATTTACTACGTATTTATAGCCATGTAGATGTGTTGACACCATTCCCAAAGACACACACTACCACCGGGGTCAAACGATGATAAAAATGATCTTCTTAGTAATTTTAATATTATCCCTTGATTTATTTGTAAACGTTTGCACACGCTCTGCATTATTGACATCAATGAATGGCATGAAAAAAATTTTCTTTTAGCGTTCTTCAGTACGCAAGTTCTCCACATGGTTATTTTCTTCAGCTGGATAGGATTTATAAGACCGGCATGATCACGAGAGCGATCCCACTTCTGATATCAGATTTATTACACATTCGTGGTTTTTAAAAGAGAGAGACGCCAGCCTCGCTGACGTTACCAATATCACTTCTTCTAGAGCATTCGATGATATTTTAAAATGAAACTGCAATTGATCTTAATGCTCTTGTATTTCTCAAAGATTCTTCATAATAACATGCTTTTATGATACACGCTCACTGAACTCTGAATTATCAATCCTCGAGTCTGCCGTCGTGAGTCTAGACGTCATATTTTTGATTCAAACATAATTCTATTCTCCTTTGATTTCGTTTTACTTTTAACAATAATCATAAATACTAATGAGGTTTAATAAGAATTGATGATAGCCTTAAATTATTTTCAAGTCGCATCCGTTATTAAAGCTGGTAGCGCCGATATATATATATATATATATACATATATATAATATTTGTTTTGTAATTTTTTGATGCGTGTTTATAACTTCCATTTGGTTTCACTACTTTTGAAATAAAACTTCTTTACGCATGCTTGACTTGGAAATAAGCTGGTGAATGCATGAGGAAAACGTTACGAAAAATGTGATCGGGCGAGGCGAACGAAAGTGAGAGGGAGATATATGTTAGAGAAGGTAGATAGAGAGTTTTATGGTTCGTATATTACTGTAGGAGCAAGGGAGAGAGCAGTGCGTGCACATTTTATTTCTCGCTTCCTTTTGTAGCCAGTGATTTATTCTTTTTAATTTTCATTCGAAAACATATGTATGTTATTTCTTATATCATATGCCTACTGTTTCGGATTTGCAATCGACCACAGTAATAACTGATGTATCCGATGATGAATATAATTAAACTAATAAATAATAAGAAATAACTATTTAATAATATTAGTTTATCAATGATAACCCATAATGTATTCAAATATTTGTAGAAAATTATTTTGTGTATATGTATATACATGTATGTATTATACATATATAAACATATGCATATTACATATAGATGGAGCGAAAGAAGTTCTACTTCAGACGTGTAGTCTAAAGCACACTGGTTTTAACTTTTTTTCTTTGAAAGCTGATATACTTATTTAATATTATGTTTTAGGTGGCATCACAGTCAAATCTCCCTTCAATTTGTCTCAAATTGAAAAATCCGGCGTCTCTCACTGGAAAATAAACGATGATTGGTCTAAGACCTTCAAATTCAAAGTACACCACGGAACTACCTTCCACTTTGACAACTTATTTAACGGGAACAAAGTACTTGGTAAATTATATTATTACATACTACGTATATTTTACAAATTTAAGGATTTTTCGGAAAAACGATTAAGGCACCTTAAATATAACTTATACAATTTTCATGTGTAATATTGTTTTTATTAATCAATTATCTTAAACCCTTAGGTTTTTTGAGGTATTGGTAGTTAAAATTTATGATCATTGTTCAATGTAGTAAATTCTTAGTGACCCAATTAATATACTTTGCCAAGCTGTTGGAAGAAATTAGTTATTTTTTGTCTACTTGAGTTTTTTCATAGCAACCATGATCATACTTTCACCTCGTCTTGTATTGATTACAATTTCATGTATAATTTCTATTATGAAAACACTAGTCATATCCGATAACTATAGTTTTGTTTAAAATTAGTGTACTAATAATTATTATGGCGTTGGTATTTCTATATATTTTCGAGATATCGCAAGCTAGATAAAAAAAATACAATTCTTTTTTTGTTTCTTTTATGAATAAGATATATGAACATAAGATAATTATACTCTTTCAGCTGAACCGGTCTTGGAGTTGTTGAACACAAACTGGCAGGTCATTATGGAAGAAATCTCTCCTCCAATAGTCAAAGCTATCATTGGATACGAAGTTGAAGCTGTAAACGCCCTGTTCAGTGCTGTGCCGGCTGATGAGTTCTTCATTCAGTAGAAAATATAAGAAGTATATAATGTATTAAATGACACGCAAGGAACGTATGGAAAATGTTGATTTAATATTATAAAGGAAATTTAATTGAGACACTTTATACTTTTTATTCTGACATACACAATAAAGACGTGATCATTAATAAATAAATGTATTTTATTATTAATTATAATCAGACTATTGATAAAATGTCATAAAAAATATGTAGATTAATGTTAATTTTAAGTGTGATATTTTAATAGCAGTTCTTATTATTTTCTAAGGTCTTAAATGCAAATACTATAGCAGTAAGTTGGCCCACCTTGAAACCTAGTTTTACAAAAATCTATTTAAAATTATTTTTATATTTAATAAACGTCTTTATTAGTGCGTCTTTATTTTAACGTCTTCTAACTTCTAACGTCTTCTGACTTCTTTATTGAAATGTATAGAAAAGACTCAAACAATGAGTATTTGGAAGAAAAATAATGAAGAATACAATACAATATTACAGACAGATATACAAAAAAGATAAGTTAATACATACATATATATTAACTGATATAACAAATGACAGAGTCGTGGACAGAGGTTTAGGGTAGGAAAGCAGAATATACGATTGAAAATAAGTAAAAAATTTTAGAATACATGAAACTAATATTTTCGGATTTACTGCGCGATTTTTTATTTTTGATTATAAACAACATACTACCGATGTACTTGGGAAAGCCCCATACAAGGCCGTCTCAAAACCGTTTCACGTGAAAGTCGTTGTTATGGAGTAAAGCTAATTAATTACTTTAGTCTTATAAATAAGCTTTCTTTTGTATATTTTTAAATTAGTTTTTGCTAACCAAAATGTATATAAAAGGCATCAAAGCTAACTCATGTTCAATAACGTGGTTTTGGCACAATACATTACTATAATTCAATGCTATATTACTCGAAAGTTTTTTATTTAAATGTATAAGTATTATACATTTTTGAAATACTTATAATTTCCTTATAACGTTTCTTAAATAATATTATGTATAATAAACAAATACATTAAAATTAACCAATATAGTTTAAGATGGTATAATTTTCGGGTTATTTTTTTTATAACGAGACTTACCAATTTACCGCTGTTTGCCGATGTCGAGATATTTGTTGTATTGCGATCTTTATACATTAGTTTACACTAGGAGACAAAAAAGTTGCTCATATTTGCGAATTTTCTGATACGATGCCAAAACATTATTAAATAAATTTATTTTTTAAATAAACTAGATGACCCGGCGGACTTCGTACCGCCCTATAATCAAGAAATACATATCTGTTACCTTTGTATCTCAATGAATCTCAATGAAATCTGGGTGGTCCGATGGCTCTTTGAGACTCGCGCGGTACGCTACGCGCCGTACGCTCGGGTCTGGTTCTGATCGGGCGGCAAGCTTCCCTTGCTTGCTTGCATGGCCAGGATGATAATCATTTTTGTTTGCTACTGCTCGAACTATACTAAAAAAAATAAAAAGGGGCCCCTATCTAACGCGCGTTAAACGCTCACCACCATTATCCAAGCTCCTCTCTCTACTTAACCAAGTTAGAAAACAACCTACTAGAGTTGCCTTCGAAGTACCTACGTACTCTTTAAAGTACGTGCTGAGATATTTTGATTCCGATTCCCATAGCCTATTCGTTAAAGAAACCTCCCTCCTGGGATATAATAATAGCAAAATATATCATGATGTTTTAGTTAGAGCACAGTATACATTTTCATCAATACTTGTATGCAGACCATTGAGTTCATAACAATTAAGTAAGTACGGTTATGACTGGAGAAAAAGTAGAGATAAAAGAAAGTTAACCATATCTTAAAAAGAGTTAAAAATACACTGAGTTGAGATTATAAAAGGATAAAATTAAGAAGTTCTTACAAGCTATGATGGCTAAAAGTAGATAAATCTAAATTAATTACTTTTTTATAACTTAACGTGGTAGATATAACCTCTAATAGGCTACCGACAAAATTTCTTAATATTCATATATGTATATGGATTTTATTCTCCATCAGTTCCCACTACACTTAAGGGCCACTGGCTACAGTATTACAAAAGTAAGTCCGTCACAAAAATAGAATAACACATTAGGAACTTCATTTTAAAGGGTTACGTATAAAAGATTAAAGATATAGGTAAGTAACGCTATAATTGTCCGAGTCAGTAATACAATCTGTATATCGAATCTGTATATTGAAAAAAATATTTTATCAACAGATATACATAGGCAAACTGATCAGTTGACGTCAAAATTCTCAGCTAAAATGTGATGGTCAGATTCTCAAGAATGATTAGTGACCTGTCTGTAATGCAGTAATTGTCCCTGAAGTAACATCAACCGAGGTGAAATGAAGGAAAATTAAGGTATTTTAGAGCTATAAGAAAATAAGATTCCTCACACTCATAGTCAGTGGTGGCGTAGTGGTAAAAAGCCCGCCTCTCATGCACGAGGATGCGGGTTCAAAGAGGGTTGATGTCAGGCAGGCTAGGCGGCCGGTCGTAAAAACAAATAGCCAAAACTATTCACAACATGTAAGGCAGACCCTGGCTAAAGCTAGGAAACTGCCAGGTAGAAAAAGAATTAGAAGATTGCTCACACGCTATAAAATAATTAATTTAGCAAATAGTGAGACGAATCTCGTTAATAATTAATATAAATATGATTCTACGACAAAACTATTAACCATTATTATTGTTTTATTTAGATCAAATACTATTTTTGGAGTTTTAAATACGTATTTGTAATGGCAGTAGTGAATTTGCTTAGAATATTATAGAAGTTGACGAGTTATTAGCTTGGAAAAATATTATAAGTAACCTTGCATGATAATTTTATTTAAGTGACCAATTTTTATGGTGGAAACAAACTGCTTAGAAGTTGTGGTCCTATATTATAACTGGTAACAAATGTATGAATACTGTGAGCGAAGTATATAGGTACTATAACTACGTATTAATAAATAATTATGTTTTATTTCGTCAAGTATTCATACTCAATTTTAAAATTACCAACAATTTTAAAGGGATTTTCTTTTTTGTGATAACGGATGGAAGATATATCTTATATTAAAAAGTACTTTATTAAACATTAAAAAGTCGGGTTATTGCATAGGCGTGAGTCGCAGCCGCCTTCTTTACTTATAATTTAAGTGATAAGATATATTATATATGTATGTATTTATGTATGCTCTATTTTTTTATATGTATCTTTGCCTATCAACATAAAAATATTGTATTGTATAATTAATTATATTTTGCCAAACATTCATTGGTTGAGTCTTTTTTAAACATTCTAATGTTGCAGTACTAATAAATATAAAAATGAAAAATAATTTCAAACAGATTTATGTAAAACTAGGTTTCAAGGTAGAACAACTTAAAGTATTTGCACTTACGACCTTAGAAAATTACAGAAATTAAATGCTATTAAAGTATCACAAATAAAATTAACAGATATACCTACATATTTTTCTATACTATTTTATCAGAAGTCTGATTGCGATAAATAATATAATAATAAAATACATTCATTTATGAATGATCACGTCTTTATTGTGTATGTCAGAATAAAAGTATAAAGTGTCTCAATTAAATTTCCTTTATAATATTAAATCAATATATTCCATTCGTTCCTTGCGTGTCATTTAATACATTATATACTTCTTATATTTTCTACTGAATGAAGAACTCATCAGCTGGCACAGCACTAAACAAGCTGTTCACAGCTTCAACTTCGTATCCAATGATAGCTTTGACTATTGGAGGAGAGATTTCTTCCATAATGACCTGCCAATTTGTGTTCAACATTTCCAAGACCGGTTCAGCTGAAAGAGTATATTTTTATCATTAATTTCATATATCTAATAAAAATAGTAAATGACGCATGGTATTAGTTTTCTTTTAATTAACTTGCTATGTCTCGAAATTATATAGAAATACCAACGCTGTAATAATCATAGTACAGTAATTTTAAAAACTATAATTATCTGAAATGAATTGCGTTATTATTATTTATAACCAAATTATATTTACTTTATAGTAACTGTAACCAATAAAAGACGAGAAGAAAAGTATAGTCATGGTTGCCATAAAGAAAACCTTAAAAAAATCAAGTAGTCCAGTAATAAGTAACTTTTTGGCCACAACTTCGAAAGGTATATTAACTGGATCACCAAGAATTTATTAGATTGAGCGTTGCTAAAAATTTTTACCATCTACATCTCAGAAAACCTACCTGTAGCTTAATATAATTGATTGGTAAAAACAGGTGTACTAAAATTGTTAAAGTTAAAATTAAGATGCCTTAAACGTGTTTGATAAATCTTTAACTTAACGATATAATATAAGTGAATAATGTAGTAATATAATTTACCAAGTACTTTGTTCCCGTTAAATAGGTTGTCAAAGTGGAAGGTAGTTCCGTGGTGAACTTTGAATTTGAAGGTCTTAGACCAATCCTCGTCGATTTTCCAGTGAGAGACGCCAGACTTTTCAATATGAGACAAATTGAAGGGAGATTTGACTGTGATGCCACCTAAAATATATATCATCTATTTAAGAAAAAGTCGTGAAAACATGTTGGAACTTATAGACACGCAGCAAAAAATGATGAAACAAATATTATATATATAATTTTCCTCACGTATATCTATTTTATATTTCCCATTTCCCTCCACTGGTAGTATCAGCACTTGTCCTTTAACCTCGTAGTCTCCAGTCAAAGTCACGTCACAAGTCATTTTCATTTGTTGTTTCTTGTTAAGAGGATCAAATCTACAAAGATAAAGCACAAAAATAGAAACAAATATATTACGAAATATATAAAATATACTATTATATTGTATACAAAATATACTGTTTCAAACAGGCATTTATAAAAAATCATAAACTAACGTTAAATGTCACTGTAATAATTGGTCGAGGAAGAACCGTGTCCGTGAAAGAACCGTATAGGAGTTTTTTATACAATGATGTACTCAACAAAACTATTAAAAAAGACATGTGACAGAGAACTGCTTATTTTGTCATAACTGGGTTTATATAAATCGAATAAAAAAATAAAACAAAGCCTGGACATAAACTTAAATCTTCCATCTAAACAAGTAGTTTAGTATCACTCCTGTTTGAAGACGTCCAAACTACAATAGAAGCAGAAACAGACGGAGACATACTGTTCAAAATCTGTACTGGTCGCATACGAAAAGAGGAAGATTTATCTTCGTCTATATTTGAGGAAGATCTTGTACTAATGGATGGAGGCCCGATTAACATTTAGTATTACGAAAGTAAAAGGGGTTATAAGAGTTAATAATTTCTTGGATTCTTTTATTTTGAATTCCGCAAAGTTATATACTTGTTATATTTATGAGTAATAATGAAATAAAACATTGAACTCGTGGCACACAATTTACTGCTTCAACGTAGACTGACAACTGACACAAACATTATTTATCTACCTGCTATATGAATTTGTTACAAACACTATATCCCTCCACCACTATTGCCAAAATAAATCCAAAATAACTTAAACTAAACTTAAACTATATCTTTTTGGTCCGTGTACTGCGGATCGGAAATCTGCGAGCTGGTTTGGTTGTGACATCAGACCCTTCATTAACAGGAAGTACAATATCAGGAGTTTGTTTGTCTGTCATTGGACTAGACACCACAAAGTCTGAACCTTCATTAGAGACCACCTCCTCCAACCGTAATTCAGAATCACCTGGGGTTGCCTCAGGCGCGGTTGAAGGACCAGGAGTACTAGCATCTGAGACTAAATCACTTATTGGAGTTGTAGGTGTCGATTCTATAATTGGACTATTAGACTCTATTGTAGATTCAGACGCTACCTCTTGAGTCAAATTAGTATGAAAATCTCCGATTGTACTTATTTCATCAGAGTCAGGAAAATTATAATCTTCCTTATGCAATAACATTTGATCTATATGTTTTTTTACATTAATTTTAAATTCCGGAATATATATAAGAAAAAGTCTAGATCCAATTTTCTTTTTAATAATACCTATTTTCCACATATATTTTGTTCCATTTTTATAAAACTGTTTTATTAAGACTTTATCTCCTATTTTGAACTGGATCTTACGAGTTCCGCCAAACTGTTTACGCTGTGATGTCTGTTTGGAAACAACATTATCATTAGCTATGGATGACGACATTGGATGAGGTAAAACTTTCATAGGTTTCATAAAATCAAGTCTAGAAAGCAATTTTCGTCCTAACAACAATTCTGCCGGAGCAAATCCGGTAGTGCAGTGTATTGAATTCCTATAATCAAATAAAAATTTTAATAATTTCATCTTAATTATTTTTGGACTATTATTTTGCATAAGAATAATTTTTAGAGATTTTTTTATAGTTTTAACCGTATTTTCGGCTTGACCGTTCGATGCCGGGTGGTACGGTGCAATCGTGACATGTTGTATATTGTTCAATGTACAGAAACTATTAAACTGATTAGAACAAAAATTAGTCGCATTATCCGTTACAAGAGTACGCACTAGCCCAAACCTACTAAACAATTCACATAATTTCGCAATCACAGCTTCACTATCCGTAGTTGGCATATCAAAACACTCAACCCATTTTGAATGTGCGTCCACTGCAATAAGAAAATTTCTACCATTCAGCGAAAACATATCAAGATGCACCCGCTCCCACGGGCGCTGCGGGAACGGCCAAGGCGCCAGAGGCGCGCGCGGTGGGGCGCTCCGCATGGACATGCACATGCTACAAGAACCGATCTTATCCTCAATATGTTTGTCGATGTCCGGCCACCACATACGAGACCGCGCTTCCGTTTTAGTTTTAACTATACCGAAATGGGATGAATGCAACTCATTCAACATTCGTTCACGAAATATTGTTGGAATAATTACCTTATGTCCACGTAAAATACAACCATTCTCTAGTGATAATTCAAATCGACATAAATAATAAGGTTTTAAGTTCATATCTAACACTTTACGTGGCCAACCATTTTTTATGAATTCGGCTACCTGTTTCAGAATCGTATCGCGCTCCGTTTCATATCTAATTTCATCAACTGTAACGGGTTTTAACAATGTATCAGAAATAAAATTAATTAAACAACAACGATCTAAATCGTCCGCCAACAATTCTGGTTTATCGTCTTGAGGTCCACAACGAGACAAGTAATCCGCGACATTGCTGTCTCCCTTAATATATTCGATATTAAAATTGTAAGCCGATAAAAATAAGGCGTAACGCTGTAGCCTGTTAGCTACTAATTCGGGAATTCCTTTTTTCGCGCCAAAGATAGACAGCAGCGGCTTATGATCCGTGCGTAAGGTGAATGGAACCGGGCGCCCATACAGATAGTGATGAAATTTTTTAATTGCGAAAACAATCGCGGCCGCTTCTTTCTGTATCTGGGCGTAATTTCGTTCGGCTATAGATAAGGAGCGCGACGCGTACGCTACCACGCGCTCGACGCCGTCCGCTTGCCGCTGTGACAGCACCGCGCCGAGCCCGGCGGGCCCCGCGTCCGATGTTACAATAGTCGGTAACTCCGGATTGTAATGAGCTAAAACTCGATTAGAGGTTAACTCTTGTTTAATTTTAATAAACGCCTTCTCTTGAGACGGTCCCCAAGTCCATTTTTCACCTTTTTTTAGTAATAAATGCAATGGACTTAAAACACTTGACGTATTAGGAACAAAACACCTATAATAGTTCACCATTCCAAGAAACGATTTTAGTTCACGCACATTTTTAGGGCACTTAGCCTCCACTATCGCTTTAATTTTTTGTTTTGATTTATGTAAACCGTGTCTGTCAATCACAAAACCTAAATACTCTACAGATGATTTAAAGAATTCACACTTATCCTGCTTTAATCGTAATCCTGCATTTTGTAATATACTTAAAACCCGTTCTAATCTTTCTAAGTGAATAGCTCTAGTCGGACCTGTAACCAAAATGTCGTCTAGAAAAATACAAGTGCCCTCTATATCCGATAATAATTGTTCCATAGTACGTTGAAACACAAAGGGAGCATTCGCTAACCCAAAAACAAGCCTATTAAAACGGAATAGCCCTTTATGTGTGTTTATACAGGTCAGATTTTTAGAATCATCCAAAACAAATTGATTGTAAGCTCTAGAAAGATCTAATTTTGAAAACTCTATCCCTCCATGTAACTTGGCAAAAAGATGCTGCTGCAATATGAATTTGTTACAAACACTATAATACTATTTTTTTTTTTATAAAGTTCATTAGAATATAATAGCAGGTAATAGCTTATTTATATGATATTTCAAAGTTCTCACTTGAAATTATCCACAACACATCCCGACAAGCCAGTGAGGGTCGAGTTCTTGAACTTCAGCTTGAGTCCACTCTCATCACTCACTATCAGCGGTATGTACATGGGGTCTAGACTCTTAACTCCCAGTTCAGGTATACCCTTCGCAAATATTGGAAGAGAGGTCTTGGCGGAGGACAGAATGCAAGCATCGTCACCACGCTTACACAGCGTTAAGAAGGGTGGAACTGAAATAATATGTACATTCCTGATTATAATAAAGCCCATGTATGTGTGTGGTTGAAGGTTTCTATGTACAAAACATTTGTATAAAATTACGTTTTGTATTTTTCTTTCCAATTAATATGACGATATCAAGGAGGAAATGAATTTATTAAGTATTTTTTATCATTTCTTAACTAAAGCAAATACAATCCTCGATTTCACTTGTTTTTACTGTTGAAAGAAATTATATTTTTTATTAGTTGTTGAGTTTTAAGAAAAGATGTTTTAAGAAAAGACCAATCAAATAAAAAAAAGAAGATTATCCCTTTGTCTGGATAAATTATAAAAAAACGTTTTTGTACGTTTATTATTATTTACTTAGTATTCTTTGTCTATCTATATAAAATTGCTATTTTTACATTTTTTTTGATATTTATTGTTGTTTTTATGGCATATAATATATTTAGATCCATTAACCTAAGACTCGATAAAACAACTATATCGGATGTTTTTTTAACACGTTCTTATTAGCTTCACTTGTATGTTTGTTTGTATGTAATCAAAGTCTTTGAGCTCTATGTTACACTACTTCTAGTGAACAGATTTTATTTAAAACATTGTCTACATAATAGTGACTGGTGAATGTGTTATGTATTATCCCATCATTCTGGTTATATTTGTTTTTCATATTATTTAGCTTTGTGATATAATTTTCGTAAAACTACCACCCCACGCCTTTTTCACAATATTGTTTATATTTTTCGTTCATTATCATTTTCTGCCTATATGGAAATTTATTTTACATTTTTACATTTTATGCAAAACAAGCATTGCTTTAGTTTTTAAAATTTATTTTAAATTATGAAAACACAGTTGAAAATACCATTTACTTTAGACCCTTTTCTCTTGACATTTATTATTAATTAATAAAGTATAGATAAAGTAGATTTTTATATAACGAGTAATATTTTATAAAGTAGTGGAATCAACCATTTTTTACAGATCATTTGTTTTATATAAAGTAATGAGGATGACAATGAGATCTAAGGCAAGATATTCTCATAAAAACATTATATTTTCAGAGTTACTACGCGGTTTTATTATTTCAATTACATACTCTCCATATAGTTCTCATTTCATTTCGTCTATCCTTAAACACGGTGGCTGAAAAGTAACCGAAACATGAAGAGTATGTAGTTAAAATAATAAAAACGCTTAGTAAATTGGAACATATAAGTTTTATTCAGATGAGGATGATAGTAAAATTAATCATGAATAACTATAATAAAAATGATATAAGAACGAACCTGATGCTCCATTAGCACCTAAGATGAAACACAACAAAGCAGCTACTGTTAACATTTTATTAATATTAAAGTAACAGTCTGTAGTGAGATGCACACGCGACCACCTCAGAGCTAACACACTACTGAGAATGAATCCCTGAACGAATGTATTTATGGTCTTATAAACATTGCAGCGTCCTTAACTAAAGAGGATTTTGAAAAAAGGTCGCACTTGGCGGTCGATAAAAAGATACGTATATAGAGAAAAACTAAAAAGAACAATAATGAATTTGAAAAAATATGACCCAAGTTTCAACAACGCACTTTGAATTATGTTATGAATACATATTTTACTGATTTTCGATCTATATATATAAAAATGAATTGCTGTTCCTTGGTCTCACTAAAACTCGAGAACGGCTGAACGGATTTATCTTATCATAGTCTTGAAATGTTCGTTGTGGTTCAGGAAAGGTTTAAAAGCTAAAAAAAAAATTCATTTCCTGCTAAAACCGGAAAATCGCCAGGAAGAAGAAGAGTAACAACTAACAACTGTAGGGATATAGTTTAAAATTGGTGGAGAGATAGATTAGAACAAGGAGACGGACATAGGATATTTAATTGTGTTCGATTGAAAAAGGAAAAATTTAATAAATACATGTACCTGGCTATTAATGGCTTCTAAGACGGAATAGAGTTGGCCCGGTCAGCTATTCATATATTACTAATGACGAAATTAACGCGGACGAAGTCGAGGGCAAAATCTGGTTATTAAATAACTTTGTGAATCTAAAATCTTTGACATTGAAAGGTGTTCAACCTTTAACGTTTTTGGAGTCTTGAAGATTATGGTAAAAACTGTGAGCTAAAAATAAATCAGGAAAATTGTGCAAATTATGATCTGCCATGTGACGAAAATAAAAGGAAACGAATTCTTGATTTAAGTGTTTTAATTCGTTTCTATTGGTCAACCTATTGCTATTTAAATATTAGCTTAAGGACTTGCCATCTTTTTAATCTCGAATTGAATTGAAGTAACCTATGTACAATACATGTATATTTATAGAAGACTAGCTGGAGCCTGTGGCTTTGCCCGCATATGAAAACCAATTTGAAATACGTGTGATGATAATGATAAAGTTTCATTAAATTTGTTGAAGACCTATGTGGGTCACAATAGGACTACCTCTGAACATTACCCTTTCTATGTATAATTTTTTTTTCAATTATCCTCTATATGTAGAAGTACTAAAGTAACCAACTATAGATGAATTGAGAATTTCCTTCTTTTTGAAGTTAGTTAAAGAGGAGTTTTTCCTTATGACATTATATACTGCGTGTGAAAGTTTTTTTCAAAATCGGTCCAACCGTTCTAGATATAAGACAAAAGAAATAGACAGTAAGTTAAAAATTTTATATTTTCAATTATGATGAAGGTAACCTATATACTTTCTTTAGCCTTTAGTTAAAAGCAGTTACTTTAAATGTACAAACAGTAAATTCAATGTTACGTATTATGAAGATTTAAGCTACAATAAGTTTAGATCATTCTCCAGCTAGAATATCATAAACAATTCTATATGAGATAAAAAATATAACGTTAATATGAATAGAAATTGAATCATCAATACATAGAAATGTAGTATAACAATAATTAGAAAACTAAACCATGTAAGGGCAACATAATACATTATTTTATGCACGGTATCCACTTGAGTTTTTCTATTTCATTAAAATAATTATTGACAACCATCAGACCAGCAGCTGTTTCAAACTATTATAAGACTTATTATAATATAGTTAATTAAGATTAATTATAATGTATTATGTCGTTATATTATAAAATAACTATTATTAGAAGGACCTTTACTTGTTAAAGAAATAATTACAATGGTATCATTCGTTGATATACATATACATATATTTACTATGTTATGTCTTATATGTTTTTGTCTTGACCAGAGTTCGTTATTTGTCTAGTTCTTGTATGAAGCAATCAGAAGTACAATATATACCTAATAACATAATAGTCTCAGTCACTGTTGAAGCTCCTCTCCCTGCAACGATGGACCCGACACACGCACGGTGAATCTTTGGATTGCTGAGGGTTTCGTCTCGTCTCTTTCTTTCTAAAACATTCTTCACACAGACTATTCTCACATGACTATTCTATACTGTGAGTCATCAATTAGCTTATTAAAGCATAATTTTTTTCAAAGGTGCACTAATTGTATCAGGGTGAAGCTATCAAATAGAATGTTGTGATTTTAATGTAGGTAACTTTTTTACTACGGTTACCGCGACCACGGACAGACGAGATGTGTGCACATGTCCGTGATCACGGTTGCTGAAAAGTAACCGAAACATCGGGAGTATGTAGTTTTTATAATAATAAAGTACTCGTAGTATAACCGAAAAATATTAGTTTCATTCAAATGAATACTCGTGAAAGTCTTGGATCTTATTATTTTATATTTTTTGTTTTACACGTGTTTATATCATATTAAAATAAATTATTTTAAAATGTTTGTTGTGATGAGAGGTCAATGAACTTTAAATAACAAATGAAAAGTTACAAATAATGGTATACCTTGATTGTCTACACTAAGAATTCTCAAATCGTCCGTTTAAATTTTGTTGTTTTGACATTTGACATTTGATGTTTTATTTTTCCTTTTCTAATATTTTAAATCTATATTTAGAAAAGGGTATTAATAAACGTTGACTCACTTAATATGCATGAGTATTATGAGGAATGACCTTAACGAATACCAAAAGTTTAGTTTTTGCTTTTATTTAAAAAAAAGGTGGCATGTGTTGTATATTTGTGTCTTAAATAAATATATATTATCTTAGGTATTTAGGACATATAATTTGGGAAACAAAATAATCTCTGGTTGATTGAATGATTTTACATTTGTAACTAATATGCTGTAATGATCACAACTGTGAAAATTTATGAGGGAACTAGATATAACTGTCATTTCTGTTGTATTTATTCAAGGAGAGGAGAATTACTTTCAACTAATAATTGGGTTTGGTGTTAATATTTCTATCCACCAATTTTAATAGATATAGTTGAATTTCGGTTCAATAATTATGGTTGAATTATTTATTATATTATGACGTATATATTTACTCTCCAAAATACATATATCTCCATAATATTCCACTTATCCTGCGTTATAGATACAGGAGCCCATTGAACTGCTTCACCTGTCGGTAGACAGCCTATAATACTAATACTCCTTGGTCTCACAATTATCGTGAAAAATGAACTTTCAGAATATTGCTCTTCCTCCAATGCAGGCGCTATGAAATATACTGTCTTTAGCCATTTGCTCAAATGACTCCAAGAAATTATTCTTTCAGAGAGATGTGAATAGTTATATGAAAGGTCAGTATGTGCAAATCGTACTTCTGGTATAGCTTAACATTAGGCGGCCCCTACGATCCTTTACCAATGATTTAATACAAAAAGTGACAACTGTAAATCATATACCTACTATTGTTAATATTAAATAGTAAGACTATTTCTTTCTATCTATTAATACTTACTATATCTATATCTATTTATTAAAATAGGTGTTTAAACTGATATGTTATAACATTCAATTTTAAATCCATTTTTAAGAGAGCTGATTTCTTTCAATGTGTATATTCCTTGTAGGTACAACATACTTTTCATTTTTCTTAAAATAAATATTAAAAAACAAATTAAAATCGGTATGTTTCAAGTATTGATGTAGTTGTAAAGAATAAGAGTTGGGTTGACGAGTTAATTGTATCATAATCACGAATGTTATTTAAAATCTTTTTCTCAAAATATACTTTTTGACGCTTCCTCAGCATAAACAAAGTTTTAATTACTAGTCATCAATTAATTTATGTCCTAAGACCAGAACTTGGGTATCGCTGACGAATAAATTAATTTGATATCTTTTTGGGGTATTTTGAAGGTATCGTAAAGTTTTGACATTTGATGTTTTATTTTTTCTTTTCCAATATTTTGAATTCTATATTTAGAAACGTATATTAATAAAAGTTGATTCACTTAACATGCATGAGTTTTGTGGGGAATGACCTTAACGAATGCCAATAGTATGGTTTTTGTTTTAATCAAAATAAAAAAGAGGTCACGTGCCTTTTAAATTTGTATCTTTATAAAAATATATATTTTATCATTGGTTAATATTAACGACGTATAATCTGGGAAACCCTGGCAGACCCTGGCTAAAGCTGGGAAATTGCCAAGAACAAGAAGAAGACGAATTTTTAATAATTTCGATTCTGCTGTTACTATCTTAACACTCCAACTTTATAAGAGAAACTATCATTTCTGTTGTATTTATTCAAGGAGAGGAGAATTACTTTCAACTAATAATTGGGTTAAGGTGGATATTTTTATCCCCCAATTTTAATAGATTATAGTTAAATTTAGATTCAATAATTACGGTGAATTATTTATTATTTTATGACGTATATTTTTATTCTTTAACATACATATATATCAAACGTATTCTTCTTATCCTTCGTTATAGATTTAGTAGCCCATTGAACTGCTTCACCTTTCTGTAGACAGCCAATACACACCCCTTGGTTTCAAATGATCGTGTAAAATGCACTTTCAGAATATTGCTCTTCTTTCAATGCAGGCGCTATGAAATATACTGTCCGCAGCAATTCGCTCAAATGACTCTTTGATCTTAGGTATCGTTTATTAATAAAAACTAAATAATGTACAAAGAGGGAACTAAATATATTTCAGATCAGACTTTGCCAAATTGATATATATAAAGGTCCAAAAAGGTATATATGTATAGTGAAATATTTCTTATCTTATAATACACAAGATAATATACAAATTGGCATGCAATAAGTCCCATAATGAATTTTTTAAATTTAACTAACAATTAAAATAATTAGACATTATAGAATAAATAAGGCGGTGAAAGAAAACATCGTGAGGAAACCTGAACTTATAATTTCACAATTATAAGTTTGAAATCACCAACCCTTTTTGAGCAAGTGCGTGGATTAATACTCAAACCTTCTGCATGTGAGAAGAGGCCTTTGCTCAGCTGCGGGCTCTGATAGGCTGATAATGACGAATAAATAAGTCACCAAAACCAGCCGTTTTCGATAATGAATTTGATGGAAACTCAAGTCGCTTTATCGCCTCTTCAACTGGACCTCTAATACATATTATAAGCGCCGCAATGCATCTTGAGGATCACATTTCGGATCTTAAAGAGTTTAAATATTTTTTTCTACTTCACAGTCCATAACGTGACTAGTAAGAGACGGCAAAACAAATGATAAGTAAATGTTGGTCGGTTTATCTAACCGTTTCTGACAAGCAGCCCTACATTTAGGTACATAAATAGGAATCCAGATAAAATCCAATCACTTTGGTTCTGGATAAACTCCGCACCTTGGATTTATTGTTCAAGACACCTGTTACGAAACCGTAGCTAAAATCTTTATTAATAAAGAACATTGAATTTGCTAATTCTATTTCTTTTGGTTTTTCTTTTAAACTAAACTTCAAAAATAAGAAAATCCCCATTTCGTCTATATTTTATTATTTTATTACTTCTTCAAATATGGATATTTTTACATAAAATAAAAAAATAGAAAGGGTTATGTTCAGAGATCGTCGATAAAAACTTTAAAAAGCGGGCAAATCGATCGTCGATAAAACCTTTAATAAGCGGGCAAAGCCACAGGCTAAAGCTGGTCCTCTATAAATATACATATACATAGGTTACTGTTCTACAGTTCGAGTGTTATAAGAAGATGACTAGTCCTTAACCTATTATTTAAATCTCATGGGATTGACCGGTAGCCACCAAAGAAAAGACTTAAATCGTGAATTAGTCTTGTTGTTTTTTTCGTCACACAAATACATATTTATGGACAAAATATGCACAATTTTCTTGATTCATTTTTAGCTCACAGTTTTTATCATAATCTTCAACACTACAAAAACATTCTAGGTTGAGAACCTTTCAATGTCAAAGATGCACAAAGCTTTTTTTTATAATTGAATATCAGTATAATATTTGTATTCAAAGTTAATTGTTGAGATTTTGGTCATATTTTACCAAATTCATTATTGTCCTTTTTATTTTTTCTTTATATATGTATCTTTTTATCGACCTTCAAACGCGCACTTTTTTCAAATTCCTTTTTGGATGAGGACGCTGCAATGTTTATAAGATCATAAATACATTCGTCCAGGGATTCATTCTCAGTAGTGTGTTAGCTCTGAGGTAGTCGCGTGTACATCTCAGTACAGACTGTTACTTTAATATTAATAAAATGTTAACAGTAGCTGCTTTGTTGTGTTTCATCTTAGGGGCCAATGGAGCATCAGGTTCGTTTTTTTTTGTACTTTTTATTCTAGTAACTCATAAATAATTTATCATCCTAATTGCAATAAAACGTAGGTTTTCTGATTACCTACGTGTATTTAATTATTTTAACTAGATACTCCCAATGGTTCGGTTACTTTGCAACAACCGTAATGACGGGCAGACGAGATTAGAATGTCTTGTCTTAGACCTAATTGTTATCCTTATTACTGTAAAACCAATCCAATAATTTGTAAATAAATATTAATATTCCACTATTCTATGAAATATTGCTCTAAAATTGTACTAATAAAAAATAACTGTCAAGTGAAAATATTCAAAAGTAAATGGTATTTTTAACTGTGTGCTCATAATGTAAAATAAATTGTAATAACTAAAAAAATGCTGTTATTGCATAATATTGAACTAAAAAGTATATTTTTTTTATATACCGGCAGAAAATAATAATGAACGAAACATTATTGTAAAAAAGCAGGGGTTGCTAGATACACGTAAAATATGTCACAAAGTATGGATGGGAAAATATTGATGATTCCTGACAAATCTCATCAGAATAATGGCAACATTAAATCAAACTATTGCATTGTCACCAGTGACTGTTAGGTGTGCAAAGTTTAAAAAAGTGTCATCACTAGAAGAAGTGTCAAACCGAACCCAAAGACTTTGATTACGTAGAAAGAAATAAACTGAACAAGCTAATAAAAGCGTGTTCAAAAAATTAAGTTACCGAGTCTTTAGATTAATGGAGCTAACTACATTATGTGCCATAAAATAATAATAAAATATTAAACAAAATGTACAAAAACAATTTTATATAAACAAACATATAATACTTAGTACTTAAACATTTAACGCTCAAAAACATTTTAATTATAATCGATGCGATAATCTCCTTTTTTAATTCATCTGTATTTCCTTAAAACAATTGTATTCTAAAATGATATAATTTCTTTCAACAGTAAATATTATTAGTCGAATTGAGTATTATTGAATATTTAATACTTTTGCTTTGGACAATATATGAAAAAAATAACTTATAACAAATTTCGTTCCTCCTAGATATCGTCACATTAATAATACAATGAAGACATTTTGTAAATGAATGTTATTAGTTTGCAAAACGTAACAAGTAATATGTGACACATTTCATACAAATATATTGCATGTAAACTTTCAACAACACACATACATGGGCTTGATTATAATTATTAATTACATTAATTATTAATGCATTATTTTCAGTTTCACCCTTCTTAACTATGTGTAAGGTTGGTGACGATGCTTGCCTTCTGTCCTTCGCCAAGTCCTCTCTGCCAGTATTAGTTAAGGGTATACCTGAAATGGGATTTCACAGCCTTGACCCCATGTACATATCGCTGATAGTGAGTGATGAGAGTGGATTGAAGCTGAAATTCAAGAACTCGACCCTCACTGGCTTGTCGGGATGTCTTATAGAGAAATTCAAGTGAGACTTTTGAAATATCATATCATGTATAAACAATAGCTGCTACCTGCTATTTTATTGTAATGAATTTTATAAAAAATAATATCATAATAGCATATAACTTTGCGTAATTCAAAATAAAGAATCCAAAAAAAAAAATTTGGACCTCTATCCCCTTTTACTTTCGTTATACTCAATGCTCGTCGGGCCTCCAGCTAATAGTACAAGATCTTGCTCAAATCTAGATGAAACGAAATCTTCTTCTTTTCTTATTTCTGCTTCTATTGCAGTTTGGAAGTCTCCAAAACAAGAGTCAATAGTCCTTTGTCGTCTATCAACAATGCAATAAATCTGAATATAAAATAATATTCATTTTTATAGAGTGAGATCTTAAAGATTGGTTTTGACTCGTATTAACTTTTTAATTAAAATGGGTTTGAATGAATAAGCCGCATAAAAAACCAAATGTCCAGGATTTGTTTTAATTTTTTTTTAACTCCATTTATAGAAACCTAGTTATGATAAATTAAACAGTACTCTGCCACATGTCATTTTTAATAGTTTTATGAGTTTGTCCTTTTAAAAAACTCATGTGGAAACACGGTTCTTCGTCGATTGATTATTACAGTGATATTTTACGTTTTTTATGATTTTAAATTTCTCATAAATGCCTGTTTGAAAAAAGTATATTTTGATATATTTGTTTCTATTTTTGTGTTTTTTTATTTTTGTAGGTTTGATCATCTTAACAAAAAGCTACTCCTGAAAGCTACTTGTGACGTGACTTTGACTGGAGACTACGAGGTTAAAGGACAAGTGCTGATACTACCAGTGGAGGGAAACGGGAAATATAAAATAGATATACGTAAGGAAAACTGTATATATTATATTTGTTTTGTCATTTTTTGTAGCGTGTTTATAAGTTACAATATGTGTTACTACTTTTTCTTTGAAAGATGATGTATGTTTTAGACGGCGTCACATTCAAATCTCTCCTCAATTTGTCTTATGTTGAAAAATCTGGCGTCTCTCATTGGAAAATCGACGACGACTGGTCTGAGACTTACAAATACAAAGTTCGGGACGGAGTTGTCTTTCACTTCGAAAACCTATTTAATGGGAACAAAATACTTGGTAAATTATATTACTACATTATTCACGTATACTTCATAAATGTAAGGTTTCTGTTTTACTTATTACTGGACTACTGGATTTTTTTAAGGTTCTCTTTATGGCAACCATATTTTCACCTCGTCTTTTTTTGTTTACAGTTAACTATAAAGTAAATGAAACTGGGTTATAAATAATGATAACGCAATTAATTTCCGATAGATGGTTTTATTTAAAATTATTGTACTAATAATTATTATATCGTTGTTATTTGTATATAATATCAAGACAGTGCAACCTAAATTAAAAGTAAACCAATACTATGCGTCATTTACTATTATCAGTATTAATATATATAAAATTAAAGACAATTATACTTTTTCAGCTGAACCGGTCTTGGAAATGTTGAATACAAATTGGGAGGTCATTATGGAAGAAATCTCGCCTCCAATAGTGAAAGTTATCGTTGGATACGAAGTTGAAGCAGTGAGCAACCTACTTGGTTCCGTACCTGCTGATGAGTTTTTCATCCAGTAAATAATATAAAACGTATTTAATCTATTAAATGACACGCAAGGAACGGGAAAAAATAATTTGATTGAAATACTTTATACTTTTTTCTGACATACACAATAAAGAAGTGATCGTTACTATATAAATGTATTTTATTATGATTTAATTAATTATAATCAGACTTCTGACAAAATATTATAAAAAGTATGTGTAGTCATTTGTTAGTATTACCTGGAAAGTTAATAAAGTTCATCTCAGTCGATACACAGTACCATAATTCTTGCATAAAAATATTGTATCAAGCACTGCCAGCTAGCTTACGGACCTTTTTTATGTATTGAGTCTCGTCATAAGTTTAAATTTACTGTCATTTCTTTTAACACTTGACTTATGAAGTCTCAAATCCTTTTTCTTTCACTTCAATTGTTTAATTTTCTAATAGTGAATTGTCAGAAATGATACAATTTTCTGTATAAGAATCTATGGCTCTAAGAATACAAACAACACTGTACGACGATAAATGTAGATGACTCAGCCTAAACCTAATATTTTTCGTAATATAGCTTCTGCCGACGGATATTTCGTTGAAGTCAGAGAGTATGGAAACTATACACAGTGTATAGTCTCCATAATCGAGAGAAAGGGAAATACAAAGGTGAAATGTTACCATAAAACCTATTTCTCAAACCGGCTGCAGGAGTATAATGTTGTAGAAAAATATACGAAAAACGTTATGTGCAGATGATAATACTTTGCGGCGTTCGTGCTTCAAAAACTATTGATTGTATGAAAAAAATATTAATACAAAATTGTAGGAAATTTTGTCTAGTTTAATTTAGTACATACATATTTATTTCGTAAAATACGTTGGAAAGGAGATATTTTCAAAAAACCATTTCTAGGCGTCCTTTTGTCAATATGGCGTCACGAGTGGCAGGGTCTACGAGGTGGCAAAATTGAATTTCGAAAAGAATATACTGAAATCTATAAATACACCAATTTTACTAACTCCCGGAAAGTGTTCCAGATAATCCCCTTTTTTCAACAAATGTACCAGTGGATATATCTGTCAATTTTATTTCTGATATTTTAATAGAATTTAATTTATGTTATTTTCTAAGGACTTAAGTTCAAGTATCTATATAGCTATCCTACCTTGAGATCTAGTTTTAAAAAGAATCTATTTAAAGGTATATTATTTATAACTTTGAATAGATTCTTAATTTATAAATATAAAAGACTATGAAAAAAAAACATTGAGCATTTAGCAAAAAAAAATTAGTATAATATAATATTTTTGCGTACAAACGCACAGACACGTATACAAAAATATACATAGTAAAAGGTATATGTATATAAACTTACATATATTATATTTTAATAAAAATACTAAAAAATAAAAATACTAATATACTAATATACTTTAGTCTAAATAAAAATACAATAAAAATACTAATATACTTTAGTCGACAAGTTGAAAATGATACAAAATAGACATATTGTTCTTAAAATAATGACTTTTGAATGACGCTTAGAAAATTGTGTCAAAAGCGTGTATATTAGTACATGAAAAATTGCAAAAGTTATAAGCAATTAAAGATGAAAAAATGGCATTTCGTTTTTGCCAATAGTTCATAAACTATAAATATTTAAGGAACTTCAAAAATAGATTCTGAATGAAGAGGAAATTTCCATTCAAAATAAGTATAATTGGATAGTATGTCATGTCATGTCATAAAATGTTTGATTGTATCAAATAAATTTGCAGAGTGCTACCAAATATCTGAACAAACAATAAAAATTAATTATAATGTAAAGTAATTAATCTAAATAAATAATATTACTAGTAATTTAAATAAATAATCATTAAATAAATAAACAGAACACTTTATATTTTATAGGATAGCTTATAGTACATGCACTTAAGACCTTAGAAAATAAAGGAAATTGAACCCTGTAAAAATATCAGAAATAAAATTAACAGGTAGATCCATTAGTCCAGTCATTTGTTGGAAAAACAGTTACCTGGAACGTTTTCCGGGAGTTATGAAAATTGGTGGTTTTATAGATTTCGGTATGCTCATTGCTCATATCGAAATTCAACTTTGCCACAGCCATTGCCTAGCCATTGCTTGCCACCAGAAAATTGTTTCATTTCTGTCAATTCACTATTACAATATGAAACAATTAAATGAAAAACGATTGGAAACTTCGTAAGTCAAGTTTTAAAAAAAATTATAATAAAGTAAAACTTTTGGTGGGATTCAAGATATAAAAAAGGTCTGTAGGCCAGCTGTCAGTGCTTGATATATTTTTATGCAAGAATTATGGTACTGTGTATTAACTGAGACCAAATTTATTAACTTTAGAGGTAAAACTAACAAATGACTACACATATTTTTTATAATATTTTATCAGAAGTCTGATTATAATTAATAATAAAATACATTGATTTATTAATGATCACTTCTTTATTGTGTATATCATAAAAAAATGTTTCAATTAAATTTCCTTTATAATATTGAATCATAATATTCGATCCCGTTTCTTGAGTGTCATTTAAAATATTAAATACGTCTTATTTTTCTGGATAAATACATCTTTACTGAATGAAAAACTCATCAGCAGGTATGGCATCAAGTAGGGTGTTCACAGCTTCAACTTCGTATCCAATGATGGCTTTGACTATTGGAGGAGAGATTTCTTCCATAATGACCTGCCAATTTGTATTCAACATTTCTAAGACCGGATCAGCTGAAAGGGTATAATTATCTTTAATTTCATATATCTAATAATGAAAATAGTAAAAGACGCATGGTATTAGTTTTCTTGTAATTTAACTTGCACTGTCTAAAAATCATATACAAATACCAACGCCATAATAATCATAATACAATAATTTTAAATAAAACTATTATTATCGGATATGCATTGTGTTATCATTATTTATAACAAAGTTAATTTACTTTCTAGTAACTGTCACCAACATAAGACGAGGGGGAAAGTATCGTCATGGTTACCGTAAAGAAAACCTTTAAAAAAACTCGAGTAGTATAATAATAAGTAAAACAGAAACCTTACATTTAGGATATATAAGTGAATAATATAGTAACATAATTTACCAAGTACTTTGTTCCCGTTAAATAGGTTTTCAAAGTGGAATGTAGTTCCGTGGTGCACTTTGAATTTGAACGTCTTAGACCAATCGTCATTTATTTTCCAGTGAGAGACGCCGGATTTTTCAACATAAGACAAATTGAAGGGAGATTTGAATGTGATGCCACCTAAAACATATACCAGATGTCAAAGAAAAAGTAGTCAAACTATTTGGAACTTATAGACACGCTGCAAAAAATGACGAAACAAATATTATATGTTTTATTTTCCTCACGTATATCTATTTTATATTTTCCGTTTCCCTCCACTGGTAGTATCAGCACTTGTCCTTGAACCTCGTAGTCTCCAGTCAAAGTCACGTCACAAGTTACTTTTAGGAGTATCTTCTTGTCAATATAATTAAACCTACAAAAATAAAACACAATATTGTAAGCATTCAAAATCATTAAACTCATAATCAAAATGTACTTTCAAACAGGCATTTATAAGAACTTTTAAATCATTATAAAAACGTAAAATATCACTGTAATAGCCAGTCGAGGAAGAAACTTGTCTCCACAGAAGTTTTTTATACAATGATATACTCAACAAAACTATTAAAAATGACATGTGACAGAGTACTGCTTATTTTGTCATAAATGGGTTTATATCGAGTAAAACAAAGAATATTATACGAATCCTGGTAATACATGTATATCTTCCATATAAATCAGTAGGAGAAATAGCACAAGAATTATTGTTCAACACTCGTCCTTAAAAGACAATATCCAGATGTTTTCATATCATTGACTTTAACCCTCTAGTTTTTCCAATTTAAGTCCCCACATACATATACATACTATAGTGATGTTAAGTATTTTTTTTTTTATGGAGCTAGTTCATTCAAAACCATTTTAATTAAAACGTTATTACGAGTCAAAACTATACTAACTATCTATACGATCTAGTACATACTAATGTTGGATGCGCAACGATCGCAATTGTTTCGAAACTAAAAGGGGATAGAGGAGTTAATTATTTTTTTGGATTCTTTTATTTTGAATTACGCAAAATTATACTATTATGATATTATTGTTATAATATAAAATTCATTTGTAGCAGCTATTGTTTACACATGATATAATATTTCAAACGTCTTACTTGAAATTATCCACAACACATCCCGACAAGCCAGTGAGGGTCGAGTTCTTGAACTTCAGCTTGAGTCCACTCTCATCACTCACTATCAGCGGTATGTACATGGGGTCGAGACTCTTAACTCCCAGTTCAGGTATACCCTTCGTTACTAATGGTAGAGAGGACTTGGCGGAGGACAGGATACAAGCATCGTCACCACGCTTACACAGCGTTAAGAAGGGTGGAACTGAAAATAATGCATTCCTGATTATAATCAAGCCTATGTATGTGTGTTGTTGAAAGTTTTCATACAATATATTTGTATCAAATGTATTAAATTTCACTTATAACGTTTTGTATACTAATAACATTCATTTACAAAATGTCTTTATTGTATTATTAATATGACGATATCTAGGAGGAACGGAATTTGTTTTTTGTTTTTCATATATTCTCCAAAGCAAAAGTCGTAATTATTATTTATATTAAAAATATTCAATACTCAATTCGACTAATAATATTTACTGTTGAACGAAATTATTATATCATTTTAAAATACAATTGTTTTAAGGAAAGACAGATGAAATAACAAAAGAAGATTATCGCATCGTCTATAATAAAAAGGTTTTTGAGCGTTAAATGTTTACTAAGTATTATATGTTTGTTTTTATAAAACTGTTTTTTAATATTTTATTATTGTCTCACGGCACATAATGTATTTAGCTCAATTAATCTCAAGTCTCCGTAAGTTAATTTTTTAACAGGCTTTTATTATTTTCTTCAGTTCGTTT